GAACACACTATTAGATCAAAGATTTTGCAGCTAATCAAGGTGAACATGTAACTTCATAATCTCGACCTCGTGTCCTCTGAGGGCTATTTCTTTCCACAAAAAAGGGTCACTCCAATGCCTGACCTGTAAGTCACAATTCTTACAAAAACTCATTTGTAGATCCATTCATTTGAACGAGCGCCAGATTCATCCATGTCTATGAATATGCTTACAGCCTGCAGCAAAACAAGCAACAGATTCTGCCTTAGTTTTCTTTGAATACTATATTAACTGAGCTTTGCAGATTCATTCTTAAGATGACTAAACCATGGTCATGTCAGCTAATTCGTTGAACATGAAGCCAAGCACTTTCTGTCCACAACCTTTGATTTTACAGCATTAATGTTCAAATGTATATTCATATACTGATGCATTCATAGAGATAGTCCTTGAGTTTATGTTGTCACCTTTCCAATTCGTGGCCGCTCCTTCGACTTTGCAAGGCTGCTTCGGATATGTGAGACAGCACCCCAACATCTCAAATTGTTTGCCACATCGTCAAGCCTCAATATGTACTCTTCTTCAGTTAATGGGAATGATCTCTGAAATGGTAGTACACAGATAAAAATACTTACACCGATAAAGCAATTAGATGACTTTGCAAAGTTTATGGACTCTCAATTATATAAGACTAGATTTATAAAAAGATACTCTAAGCTTTACGCAAACTAGTGCCATGCCAACTAGCTCTTAAGTCAAAGGTCACCTTTGGATTTCCTGTAACTTGGTTCCAGTGCTCTCACTTGGGCATAGAAAGAGAGAAGCTCTAGTATGTTTATCCAATTCAAGCATTATAATAAAACTAAATTAACCCCTATAGAAAAGATATGGCTTTACGCCTATACCTGTAGAAAAGACTGAAAACATAGCATAATGATTAATTGGGAATGATCACAATGTAGGAGTGTGTTAAATCTATAGTTTTTTCTGTACATGATTTATAGTTAATCTTGAGTCTTGCCCCACCCCTCAAGGAAAAATAAGGCTACACGGCTACACCTGTAGAAAAGACTGAAAAACATAGTATGATTGGCAATGCTCATAGTTTTTTCTGTACATGATTTACTTTTTACTATTAATTATGACCTAGGCCTGAATGGACCTGATAAAAAGATGTTAAGCTTCGATATTTCACTCTAAGAAACACAGGTCATTTTTCAAGTCATCTATCTGATATGGGGGGGGGGGGGGGAGGGGGGGAGGATCTAAGCCTTAAAGTTTAGACCTTTAGAAATGTCACTCTATGGAACATCACTCCAAGAGACACGTCATTTTTCTGTATCTATCAGCAGTTATATTGTTGGAATTGATCTATCACCTCAAAAGCATCATAACTTCCCATCTTAATCACTTGCCAGGGGGTACAGTAGATAACCTTCTATAAAATCCGACCCAAATACTCAAGTCCATCTTGCACTTCTCTAGCATAACCTCATTTCCAATACTCTCTCTCACAATACAACTTTACATACATGACATCCTCATTTCTGCAACTTTAATCCTATGAAAATGATGTATAGTTCTATCGAACCCTGATGCGCTTCTACCTTTCCTTTCATCCAACTTTGATAAACATATAAGATGATCTAATCAAGGAAACTATTTAAACTATAGAGTTCTTCTTGTTGAAAATTCTTCTTGAGGAATTTGTTTGCTTCCCATTCTAAATTAACATCACCTCCATCTTCTTTTCATGTTTTCTATACACCCACCCTTAAGGCCTACTTATTCTATATGCATTTGACACTTGACAGTAGCATATTCTCCAAAGCTCCAGCTTAATATGTACACCTTGTCATAACTCATCTAACACAATGTCAACCATTAAGAAAATAAACTTATCAAAGTCTAAATAACTAAAATTACAGGCAAGAGAGAATTAATACAGTAGACACTATATAATTTGCATCACAATATAATTTCAAGTGATGAACTCAACCCATATATGCCGCTACAAGACATCACCATGCAAACTATGACTCTATAATGGTAAGAAGCTACATTATGAAAGATTGACGACAACAACAAAAAAAAAAAAAAAAAAAAAAAAAAAAAAAAAAAAAAGCAAGCTGCTGTATTGAAAAGTTGAAGAAATTCTCCACATACCTGCTCCCTGTACTTCCACATGACATTCATTGCAAGAAGGTTTCTCCCCATGAACTCCTGCACAATGATACAGAAATATAACAATAGAACATAAAACAAACCAATTTATATAAACTCAAGAGAAGAATGCAATGAGTCAACCCAGGGTATCTAGTTCAACAAGTAGAGACAAGCTGATCACTCAGTCTAAAAGACGAGGAGCTGGGGAAACTGCAAATTAAACCATGTACAGATGAATGTGATACAAAAGGTGTTCATCAGCTCGATTATTTTAACACCTAGGAAATATTATTTTCACCGATGGACAATTAAATAATTCGATGAATGAAAGAATGGTGATATAAAAATTATTGTGCTAATCACATGTATACTGAAAACAAGATTCTAATGACCAATTTGAGGCAGGATACTTACAGATATATGAAAACCTTTGGGAAGAGCATAATAAGTAGTTCAAAGTAGACAAGATGAATACAAGAGACAAGAACAAACCCTTCTTATGAAAATAAGCAAAAAGGGATCTGCTAAGGAAAGCAAGGTATTTCAATACATAAAAATTGATATGGATTTTAAAAAATTGAAAAGAATCAGTCATGTTAGCAAAAGGAAAAAGATACCTTCTTTATGAGTTGTACATCATAGGACCTTCCATATTTGTTTCTTATAATAGCTGCAAGGTCTGCCCCACTGAACGTAGAGTCATCCACTCCAATAATTCTTTCCAGATTATCCCTATAACTGTCACTACTTGCCTGAAAAGTGAAGCACAAAAGGACATATAATATAGCTATTTTAACAGTATGGATCAAGAAAGGACACTAAAAGTATATTTGGATATGATCGGCTATATGGTTGGGATCCTATTGAACAAAACAGCCTACGTAGGTGACATTTACTTTGTAGAGACAAAACGAACGCTGCATTAGTGCACACACTTTATAGTCCTGATGGTTATCCCTTAATCCCCAATACTCTTGCTGGCCCAACAAAATTTACCCAAAAAAATCAACATCATTCCTTGCAAATTCTACATGGCAATGCAATTGCAAATTTTGTGTTCAATCAGCTTGGAGAGAGTGAGAACACAGCTATTAACATGCTTGCTAAAATCTGGGAGTCTGTATGTCCAATGAGGAACCATCAACAAAATAAGGCCGTACATACTGCTGTAAAGAAGGCTAGAAAGAAGAGAAGTAATTTGGTTATTGTTTGTTTGTCTTTCTTCTAGATAATTGCATCACTGCATCTATAAGTTTTTCAATAAATCAAAACCTTTTAACCTTGTATAATCACATCTTTTGTTCTGAACCATCATTAGTGATCCTTTTGGCCCATCATATCATAAAATATAGAAATATACCGGTCGGCCTTCTGGCTTTGATGATTCCTTCTCTGAGTTTTCATCTTCTGGCTCAACAGGATCATTCATATTTAGTGAACTGGAGCAAACAGCAAGATGTTTTCCGGATTTATGACAGTGATTGTTGTAGACAAGATCATGGCTTTGACAAAAGCTTGATTTATAAGGAAGTAAGGGCCCTTTATATCTCTGTCCTCTGCCTTCACTGAACCTTCCAGTAAAACAATGTTGAGTCCCAGATGACAATATACTGGAATGGGTTGTTGCGATGCTCGTCATGCCTCTGCAAGCAAAATCTTACACTTGTCAAAAAATGCCTCCTAAATTTCACAATTGAGAATTCATTCAAATACTCCAACAGTAAGCATGCCTAACTATTTATTGTGTATAAGCAATATCCTATATTTGGCTAGGTCCAGAGTTTCAGGGTAGCGTCAAAAGGTAACAGTTACAGGAAAAATGATGCTAGTGTCAGCCACTTGAACAAGCGCCTGAGTCCCAGAAACATAGGTACATACTAACATATGTGATACATAAAGTATGCAAAGGTACTTATGAGCTCATATAAAAGATGAAAAATAGAGCATGTTAAAAGCAAAGTTCATAAAGACAACAATATACCTTGTACTCTCCCCTTATTTTTCATCTTTAAGCAAATCAAACTATAATATCCATGTAAATTTATTTTTCAGGAGAAACAATCAAACTTATTTTTCAAAACCTTCCACATTACAAACAAACATGTGAAAGCTGGTAATTTGTATAATCTTAGCTTTCTAGGGTTTTACCACCACATTAAATTGGCTCCTAAACATACAAAACTTCACATTTTACAAAATTCACAGCCACTACACTACAGTTGATGAAATCCAAGCATATAAGACATGATGCCCTTAAAGGGCCTTTTCTCTTCAATTGATATTCGCTTATCAAATTGATTTTTACTAATTAGAACTTATTCAGTGTTCAATCAAGTCATTAATTTTTACTGATTGAAATTTATTTTACTGATTAAAATTGTGCCAATTATAAGTGCGACAGCTAAGCTCAGTTGGTAAAAGTCTTGAGACGACGACGTCTCATAACTCAAAATGGCATCTATGTGTAGCCTAATTGATAATAGCTTCCATTCAAAGCAAAAAAGTAGACAACTAACAACAAATACTACTTAGAACTTAATATGTTCAAAAAAAATAAATAAATAAATAAAATAAAACTTAATAAGGTGTTGCTGTGTAACACTCTCTCACTAAAACCATTTTTAAAGATTATAGCTTGTATCACAACCCATAATCATCACACTACTTATGAACTTAAATACTTAATAATCAAGCTTACCTACCTAACAACTTCATCGTAAAAAAAAAAAAAAAAAAAAAAAAAAAAAAAAAAAAAGTCAGATTCATTACATATAACTTTAAATTATAGTTTAATAATAATAATTAATAAGGAATAAAATTAATTGTAAGAAAAAGATTAAAGTTGCGTACCTTAATAGAGGAAGTTAACAAGAGTTTGAGGGAGAGAAAAGAAGAAGAAAGGGAGCAAGAGAGAGAACCTCATATTTTTTAGCTTTTTTTATTTTCTTTTTTAATTTTCTGAATACAGGAATTTTTCAGTTAGACGGTTTTCGACCGTTGATCATGATTAGAGGGTGTGAGAGAAATTTTGGTCCGTGGGACAATTGCATAACTTGCTTTATGTGGACTCTATCAAACCAACATATTTCACTATTTTTTGAAAGAATTTTTATTTATGTTTTTTTGAAGAATTTTAAATAATCCTTATAAAGTTTTTTTTTTCCTTATGATTAACATAAAAAATAAGAGTTTTAGCTAGTTCGTACTATTTAAATGATTCATGTTAATTATCTTGTTTTTTTTGGAAATATTCTAAAACCCCAATTTTAAGTCATATTTTCAAGGTATTGTTAAAAAAAAACAAAAAAAAAATTAATGTTGGGGTTACTACTTGCCCGAGGCTTAGTACCACTAATGTAATACATCATATAGGTTATTTATATTTCTTATGTAAAAAGCACTGCCTAAAATTGTAATAAATTGAATTCAACCAGATTTATAATTAGTAACTCATATAAGATGACAAGAGGTTTGGGATTTCTATGTTAGTCAATTTTACACATGTTTGTAAGTTTGTAACAAGCTTGGCATGGAAATCCATAAACTTGTAAGCCAATTTTGCTAAGATCAACATCAGTAAATTGTCTAGTTATCTGTTCCCTTCCCTTTCATTCATGCTACTACTAGTTCTGGGTAGTCTTCCTTGGGTTGCAGGCTACAAATTTAGGTGAGAGCTTCGCCATATTGGGTGTTAAATCATCCATTTTGACATCAAAACTACCATGCCTCACTGGCTAGTGTTGCTCATAGTCTGCAATGACACCGAGGGTTTGCATTCCTTCAGCTTCAGGCATACATAAAATCATTGTTCCATTTACATACCACATTGCTATCGATATCATACAAAACTCCCTAGGTTTGCTCCAAAAGATACCTCGCATACATTAGTCACTGTTCCGTGTACATACCAGATTGCCATCTACGGCATAAAAAACCCAGGTCTCCCCTGAAAGCTGAAAGACATTTTGCTACACAAAGGGGCTAACTGGCTAAGGCAACAAAAATCTAGACCTTGGAACCATAATTAAGGCAAGGGGCAACCTACTCATAATGTGATATTTATAATATCTGCTCACAAGTGCCAGTCGATAGGCAATTCCCCATTCTTCTCCAGAATCTGGTTTGTACGCGAAAAGTGCCTGCACAAGAATTGAAATATAGCATGTCATTAGTCCATCCTTTTCAATGCTTCTCTTTTTCACCACAATCCAGTACACTAAAACATCTACTTCATCTGGTTAAAACGTAGGAAAATTGATAATAATGCAATAGCATGGCAGCTAGCAAAAGATCTGAAAACTGTGGAATCAATAGTAATTAATATAGATACATCTAGCTTCCTTGGCAACTGTAAGCCATCAGAAGGAGAGCTTATGTAAACAGTAGCGATTAAACAAAATATTAAAATTAGATGCTCCTATCATTATGAACAGAAAGATATACCTGCATCCAAAGAAACCCCTATGAGCAGAAAGACCAGAAGGATGAGCTGATTTGAGAATATGGTGCTTAGACTCATCAATCAACCTGTATAATAACATCACCAATGGTGTATCAAACTGAATAATTCAATACCCCTTACATTTAATTTTTTTGGGTTTCTCTAACATAATCATAAAGAAATAATTATCTGGTTCAAGAACATTTGAGGTAGGCAAACTTCTACAGAGAAAAAAAGAGTCCAGATGAGGCAACAAACAAAAGCAGAGATTGCCAATAAAGAGAGACATCATCACGAAAGTATACACAGAAGAAGCTCAGATGACTACATATAAAGTACATAGAAGAATCAAATCACAATTTAATGAGCAATGCACTCTACACCAAAGCAAAATCACAGTTGACAATCAAGGTCAACACAACTGCACTAAAAACTTGAAATCATGTAGACATAGTAACATATGACTTGCACAAAGATTTATTCCAGATAGTAAAGAGCTAGGAAACAAACCTGACTTTCTCCTGAGCACAATTTCCCCAAAGGATAAATACAACACCTCTCCTCTTTTCAGAGATTGTTCGTATTACTGCATCAGTCAACTGTTCCCAACCTTTCTTAGCATGAGAATTAGCTTGATGATTCCTAACTAAATAGAGTGGAAAGCACGTAAGAAACAGGTCAGAAATACGTGGATGAAATGAATGATTGAATTTGAAAATTCAAAATTACAGAATTAGATTTTGTAGCTTCGACATTTGAGATGTCTCTCTACCATAGCCCATAGGTAACTCATATGGGACATTTTATAAGACCAGTAACCAATATTTGGATATGCTCAGAACAATGATGTTTTAAAAATGTCTCATATGCAAGCAAGTTCAATTATAATGAAAATAACCCCACATTATACCTTTGTAGAATTTGTAGAATAAACTAAATGTAATACAGGGAAGATTACCCATTGTAGGAGGTTTTCCAAAGTTGTTACAAAGAGCAACCAAATTTCACTTGGTATCATCAATTAGTGATTTGTAACTACATTACTTTGGATTCATTGCTAGGTTTTTTGAGAAAACATTAAGTTGAATGAATCAAGATAGCAGATAATGAATAAACATTTACTTAGCATAAGAGCCTAACAGGAAGGTTCAATTGTCACTGGCTCAAGTACAAGCACAAGCAACAACTGGGTGTGAAGGCTTTGATTTGTCAATGTCAAGTTCAAGTTTCATCCTTTCCTCAAATTGAGCATCATCTGCTGAGACCCAAACATAAATCTCATCAATTGATTTTGCAGAAATCAGGTTCAACAATATAATACATTGTTGAGGATCTCTTCTAATTAGAAACTCCAGAATGCATTTTTTATCAAAATGCTTAAAATGAGGATCATGGAATCCTAACACTGATGGAAAGTATGGAGCCTATGTACCTTGCTCTCTTGTCATTTTTCTCAGTTGTATCATCTAATAAGGAACTAAAAATGTGCAGAGATACAAAATTAACATGCATTTGTCCACAAATCAATTTGATTTACTGCTCTACCATCAACTTTAATAGTGGTATTGTACCCGGCACATGATGTTTTATAGCCAGCAACAGTGTAGAGAGTTTTACTAGTGTCTATTCCTACGTTCGTTCTACATCTACTATGGTTATTCATCAAAATCTCAAAAGTAGAGGTACAATTTTAGAACTACTTGAATCCTTACAAAAATTGATCAAGAGTACTTGTAGAGGATTTTTATCACAAAGGGCTAAAGCAAGATGCAAATGTGATACTTTGGATAAGTGGAGAAGCTAGTACCAAAAAAAACCTATTTTAATGAGACTAGGCAGCTTACCCGTGAGGACCGTGTTGAGCAGCAAAATACCCTGCAGAATTCAAAATAACTTCCTTCAAAACCTTTTTTTCAAAAGTGCCAAACATCTTACAACTATATTCAAGAATTTGCAATTTAATAAGCAAAAATATGAACGACTGATTTACAAGTTATCAATCTTAGCAATATTAAAGAATAAACATGAAATTAGATAGACGGATTTGTTGCAGATGAAAATCAAGATTAAAGAGAAATTATGGCTGGTATGAGAAGTACTCTTGTATACCAAAAGAGTAAGCAAAGGCTGATAAAGTCAATTCTGAAAAACAGGAGAATGCATGGAGTTCACAGGAATTTGAAGCAAAAAGGCCAATTCAAAAATGGAATGCAAGAAGGAACATAAACCAGTACACTTGCCAGAACTATCACCTGAACAGTCCATTTCTCCAAATTCCCATGAGATGGAATAGAGCATCCAAGATCTTGCTTGAGTTCCTTGAATATATTTCCAAGACTTGAAGGAATCTTGATACCCTCAGGTACTGAGAAAGATAGACCCATTGCCTGTCCTGGTCCATGATATGGATCCTGATAAAATTAAAAAATCTCAGAGGCTCATCTTTTAATGTCACCTTACAAGAAAGTTATGCAGATCATAAAGTCACACAGTTCAGAGAAGAAATATAAATGGAGAGAGCAAGGCAAGAAAAACTTCCTGGGATAGAAGCAGCTCAAACCTTGAAGAATTAAAGTTTCAAAAAGTTCAAAGATGGTAGACTTACCATTCTGGCCACTATATCTCATTAGTATCTAAGCACGTATTAATTTACTCAGCATTAACCTCCTTGTAAGAAGCTAAGTGGTAAACAACAATACATGGATAGCACTCAAACTGATTAAGGCCACACAACTCTTTAAACCAAGACATGTTACGCAGAAATCAGTCATAAATCAGAAGGTGATGAGTTGACAACTTAAATAGTTTTATCATCTGTTATGCAGAGGAGCTAAAAAAAAAAAAAAAAAAAAAAAAAAAAAAAAAAAAAAAAAAACTCCAATTAAGCAATAAAGTGAGAGGAGCAGTCAACAATCAAGAGTACCTGCCCAAGGATGACAGCCTTAACTTTATCAAGCGGTGTTGAGTTGAGAGCATTGAAGATCAAGTTTGGAGGAGGATAAATGGGAACTTTGCTGCCACAAATTTCTGTCTCAACAAATTTGCATAGACTCGTAGCATAAGGCTTTTCAAACTCCTCCGAAAGAGCCGCCAACCATGAATCCTCCACAAGGAGCTCCTTTAGCTTCACATAACCATTGCCCCCTTCAGCTGATATGTTTACATGTACACATTTTTGAATAATCAGACAAACCTCGAGAATGGTATCATGTAGGTCACAAAGAGCAATGATATAGATAGGATTCATCAAAGATCTTCGGCAATACCCCTAGACTCTAACAAACTACATTAGTTGGCAATTTGGCATATACTTCCTCCGTTTTCTTTTATTTGCAACACACCTTCATGGCACGTACTTTGATGAAGAGAATAGATAATGCAAGCGGACTAATTAATCAAAAAAAATTATACACGTAGTAAATAACCCTTATCTATTCTTGGTGTTAAAATTATTTTGATAAAGTAGTTTGTTTACCTATGGTCCTAGTCTAATCAACTCCTAAAAAACGTGCCCAAAAGTTGTGTTGCAAATAAAAGAAAAAAGGAGAAAGTATTAACCATATATGTTCAAACCTATGCATGTATCCACTAACTATATAGTACTATACTACTATGTAGATTATATCCTTAAAGTTGCAATATTTGTTGCCAAGTACACAACTTTACAGTTTCGTACCTCTTATACAATCACAAACCTCTATACATCAAATTCACAACAATAAACGAGCACATTAATCCTACTTAGAAACCATTCTCCTTCAACAAAAAGACCTAAAAAGCTAAAAAAAGTATACTTTTGAACACTGCATTAATCACAAGCTACATCAACATTGTTCCCTAAACGCATTCAACTTTTCGATTATCTTACTTCGTTGTGTTCATACAAAACAATAAATCACATTTCACATTATTATCAAACTTCAACATCTTCGGCAATTAATTCAACAACATGACAATTATCATACAAAATGTGTCATTATAATTACAGAAATTAAATGTGATCAAAAACTAATTGAGAACAGAAATATTAATCAATAAAAGGAAATCGAAAGACAAACCTTTAGAATTCAGAACTTTTTCAGAACAAATTCGAAGATTCCTTTTAGACAAAGCTAGGGATTTATTAAACTCCATTCTAAATTTCTGCTCAGCACTCAGCACCCCAGAAGCATCGGTAGGGTTTCCGTCACAGGAACCGCCATTATCGGTGACCGAAAGCGAAGAAGAGGAAACAGGAAGGGAAGTAACTGATGACTGCAAGCTGACATTATCGGTGGTTTTACGGCGTTTAGGGTTGGATTGGGGGAAGAAATCAATTAGAGTTTTGGAGGAGGAAGATGAAGGTGGCATGTTAATGGTGTTGTTGAGAAATTGGAGAGAGAAAAAATGGCGGGAAGAGGAGAGAGAAAATGAGGGTTTATGAATTGTTGCTGCTGCTAATGTTGTTGTTGTTGGGAGGTGAATTATTCCTGGAATTTTCATGGTTTTTAAAGATGAAAGATGGATGATATTATGGCGCTCAATTTTCTTTTGGGCTATCTTTCGGCGCTTAACATTTTTGTTGGGGGGTCGAAGTCGTGATATAGATAGCATTAGTATAGTACCCGTGTAATTACACGATATAATAAGTTCATATATATAACTTATTTATTAAATTAATTTTTTAATAATAATTAGTATTTAGCCTGTGCGATGCACGGGTTAATCTTGTTGGCTATATATAAAGTGTATGTTTTTCAATTAAAGAATTTTATTATTGTGTATTTAAATTGTTCTTAGGTTTTTTTTCAAATCAAAACATGTGTAAATATAAATTGTATTATGTTAGTAACATAAAATACTACGTAAATGTAATGCAATATATTCTAATTAAAAATAAATAAAAAAAATAAAAAACATATCAAATATGAGATTTGAAATACAAATTACATCAACCAAAAAGTCATCTACTAATATAAGTTTAACCCAAACCCAACGTACATGTGAGGGAAACATTAGCCTACATATATGGATGATAAACTGTATAATAGAAAATAATTTGTAATAAAATCATTAAACATTAATCAAACAATATTAAAAAATTTATTAAATATGTTTTTTTAGTTAATATCAATTAAGAGACACTATGAGAGTACAATGAAAATAAAATTATTAGTACAAAACTAATCATATAAAATTCTTATTGAATTATTCCAAATGTCTCTTCACAAAATTGATATAGTGTAATTTCCATCCAAATATATTGTTCCTTTGTTGAATATTGAATTTTTCACCTACAAAACACATAAATCACCAACTAATAAATCAAATCAACAATACTAAAAAGAAATAGGACACTGAAAATAGAAAACAAAATCAAAATCGATTATTAAAGCGAAAATATATAGTGGAGTAGAATGTAAAATTTAGAAAAAGATTATTTAAAACAAAAAAATATATAAATAAATATAAAATCTAGCTTATGTGTCGTCGAACATTTTGAACATTAAAAATAGATACTCGTAATTTTATCATAGAATGAAAGTACAATGTAGCATCAAGAAAAAGAATTCAAATAACTACTCTGCAACATGAAAAGTATCATGTTAGCAATAAGCGGAAATGACAATTTAAAGGTGTTTAGGGTAAAAATACCCTATGCCACGTGGCCCAGTAGTATAATGACACGTGGCAGCCCACCAGAGGCACAACGTGATCCAATCGGATGCTGACACGTGGCATCAAAACCCTAATCAGGGAACATGCCTCCCCCACTATAAATAGGGGAAAAATCCTCATTTATGATTCATTTATAAATACATACACAAAACCCGAGCAATATTAATTGCGGAATCTCCCTGAATCAGAGAGAAACATTCATCTTACTTTCTGCACGTTTTCTCATCCGGAGTCATACTAACTTGATCATTGGAGGCAGAACTCCACCCAACCGGAGTTTCGTGGTTTTGCAGGTACAGAAGTCAGGCGCGCATACTCCGTATTGTAACTCTCCCGAGGGACCAAAAACACCCAAAACATTTGGCGCCGTCTGTGGGGAGAGCACTACTGAGATGGCATCTGATGTTTTACCGAATGCAGAGGGAAGCCGGCCTACGGCTGACCTTGAGGTCCATACGGACCACGACAGTGGCAGTGGTGACGACTACAATGTCGAAACCTACATGGCCCCAGACGGGTCATTCTGCTCCAGGCACACCCATTCCAAGGAAAAGAAGGAACGGGGCCAGGACAGAGCTTGTCCCAGCAACCCAGGCGGCGAAGGGGGCTGCCCCCGTCACCATAGACGAACTCATGAATCTCATGACTAGTCAGTTGGCTCAAGCAAGGGTCAGTCAGCAAAGAAGCCTTCTCCCTCCGGGAAGAGGCAAATCAAAGACCGGGTGCCTACTCCACACCCCAAACCCAAGGGGACGGATGGGCCCTTGATCGACCTCTCAAAGCTTCCTTTCCCCGAATCAGGGCAACGGAAGGCCATCCGGCATACACAGTCGGATGGGTCAAAGAAGACTTTCTCTGATACCCGGTTGTTCATCCAGGAGAAGAGAAGTCAGAGTATGTCTTAGTCGGCCTCAACGTCGACCTACTCAGATAGTTTCCAAAATGCTTCAATGAAACATTCGGAGACGCAGCAAGGGAGCCAGTCACGCGGTGTGTCCGCACGAACTGGTCCTCAAGTCATCCAGCAGGCTCCGTATGTACCCCAACAGCCATACGCAACCTATGGATCTCCATTCATGCAGTCGGATCCCTTCGGGGGTCAGGCGGCATACCAGGTCCAGCCTATAGACTGGCAGCTCCGGCTGCTAAACCTTGGGGAACAGCCTTCGGCTTTCTCCCGGGAAATAACCGAGGCGGCACAGCCGACCAAGGTTAAAAATGTGTTGGTTAGTGCCTACGACGGTACCACCAACCCGGAAATTCACCTAATGGGCATACATCAACCTCATGTACCTACAGGGGTTGGATGACGCCGCCTGGTGCAGATGCTTCCCGGCTACCTTGAAGGGCATAGCCCAGCAATGGTTCGGCAACTTGTCGGCTGGGTGCATCAACAACTTTAAGACGCTTGCATATTTGTTTGCGTCCAATTTTTCCATGAATATCCCTGCTAAAAAGACTAGTCTCGACCTAGGGGCAATCCAGCAGGGTGACAAGGAGGGGCTTCGGTCCTATGTAAGACGGTTTAACCTGATGAGAATTCAGATTCAGGGGCTGTCTGATGAAGTTGCATATACAGACTTCTTCAGACAGCCCCTAATGGAGGCGCTGATGGAGGCTGAGGCCTATATACAGGCAACTGAACTCTGCGCCATCAAGCATCCATCGGAATCAAAGCGGTCCGACGATAGAGACAGCCGGCCAAAAAGGAAGAAAAGAAAAGAAAAGAAGTCTGGGCAGCAGACCGCCCAGGTCAGCCGTCCTAGAAGAAGCAAAGGAAGTTAGAACCGTACGTCCCAAAGTACGAGTTCAAAAAGACTGCTCCTCCATCCTCATGGAGATAAAGGACCGGTTGACAATCGAAAAACCGGCTGCAATGAAAAGCTCTGTCAAGAACAGAGACAAAAGCAAGTATTGCCAGTTCCATGAGGACGTTGGCCATGACACCAATGGTTGCTATAGCCTCAGGCGGCTATTGGACCGTCTGGCTGATGAAGGGGCTCTAGAGTCCTATTTGGTGCAATCCAAGGGCAACCCCAAACCAAGTGGAGGACAACCGTCCAAGAAACCGGCTGCTAGCTCTGAAATGGACGAAGAACATATCTTCATTATAGTAGGTGGCTTCGCAAGCGAAGGTCCTACCATTCGGGGTACAAAGGATAACATCCGGAAATTATCCAACCCAGAAGATGAGGGCCAGGCGTCGAAAGACACCTTCCCTGCGGTCTTCATCTCTGAGAAGGATAGGGGCACGGTCAGGCGGCCCCATGATGACCCCATTGTCATCGAATGCAAAGTTGCCAACCAACGAGTTGGCAGGATCTTAATCGATACCGGGAGCTTGTCTGACCTGATCAGCTACCAGTGCTTGACAAAGCTCAAGTACAAGCCTAGAAGTATGCATAAGGCTCCCCACCCCTTAGTTGGCTTTGGGGGAGGGGTCGTATATCCGGTGCGAAGGATTGACCTACCCATCCGGCTAGGGGATAAAGGGGAAGGGCGGCACATGGTCGTCAAGTTTTTGGTGGTCGAGGAATTGACCGCTTACAACCTTATTCTGGGTCGCCCCACCATCAACAAGTCCAAGACTATAATCATCCCCTCTCTTATGATGATCAAGTTCCAGAGGGATGACGGATCAGTGGGTGCCCTAAGCAGGGACCAGAAGACGACAAGGGAGTGTTACCTCTCAGACGTCAGGCCGACTGTTACTGCAGCCGGTCATAACGAGGAACCTGCTGACCTCGAGGACTCAGAAGCCGCGCCTGCCCCCAAGGCAGCCGGCAAAAAGCGAAAGGCGGACCAATTGGCCCCTTCCAGAAAAACAAAATAGCAATCACTGGCCAGGGAAAGGCCGGATGACTCCCGACCCCAGCCGGCTGGTGAGAGCATTGATGTCGTCCTGGACGGCAGCCGCCCTGACAGAACAGTCAAGGTTGGGACGGTTGTTTTTGAAAAGTTGGGGGCAGACTTGCTCCAACTTCTGAAAGAGTTCAAAGACATTTTTACCTTTGAAGTGGAAGAGATGCCAGGCGTCAGCCCGGATCTAGCCGTCCACAAGTTAGTTGTGGATCCCAAAATAAAGCCAGTTAAGCAAAAGAAGAGGGATCATGGCGAGGAGAGGTCTCAGGCGGCAGCCGCTGAGGTAAAAAAACTCTTGGATGCCGGGTTCATTCGGCAATGCTACTACCCGGATTGGGTAGCAAATGTTGTCCTTGTCAAGAAGTCGAATGGTACCTGGCGGATGTGTGTAGATTACACAGATCTGAAAAAGGCATGTCCGAAGGATAGTTATCCCCTTCCAAAGATCGACAGCCTGGTCGACTCTACAGCCGATCATGCCTTGATGAGCTTCATGGACGCCTACTCAGGCTTCCATCAGATCCCCTTATGGAAGAAGGATCAGGAGAAGACATCCTTCGTCACTGATCAGGGGTTGTACTGCTACACGGTGATGCCGTTTGGGCTGAAGAATGCGCCTGCTACTTTCCAACGAATGATCAACACCGTTTTTGTCAATCAAATTGGAAGGAATGTAGAGGCGTATATTGATGACATGATAGTCAAATCCAAGCTACAGGCGGATCACCTAGCCGACCTCCGAGAAACCTTCACCACCCTCATGCGGCATAAGGTCATGCTTAATCCCAAGAAGTGTGTCTTTGGTGTTGAGTCTGGGAAGTTTCTCGGATTTCTGATTGATCAAAGAGGCATAGAGGCCAATCCGGAAAAGGTCCAGGCAGTGATTGACATGAAGTCACCCCGAATTGTCAAGGAGGCCCAGAAATTAACTGGTTGCCTGGCGGCCCTAGGAAGATTCCTCAGCCGATCAGGTGACAAGTGCCTTTACTTCTTCCTAGCAATCAGGAAGAGGTCTAGATTTGAGTGGGGAGAAGAGGCTGAGGCGGCATTTCAGAGGTTAAAGCA